TGACGGAGGGGTAAAAATTTGTTGCAAAGTCAATAACATTTAAAAGTTAACATAGAATATATAATTTACACGTTGGCAATAAAATATTTCTTATTACGTAAGAGTAGACAACGAAAAGTACAATAATAATTATATTTTGAATCAATTACTTACGTGACGAAGCGGTAGCCGAATAAACACACCCACCTCCTATCACAGCTTTCGGGCGACTGACGCGCTGTTTCTTGATCTCAGAGGGGAAATCGTACCAAGGGGGGGAGGGGGTCTAAACCTCCAATCGCAAGTCACAAAGAGAAGAGGCACAAACTCGTATTTCGAAGGACAACCCACGTGACAGAATTTACAAAATAAAACATCAGGTAGTAGGAGACAAGTATTTGAAATTTTTTGGATATTTTATTAAAAGTGATAAAAAATAATGGTTTCTATTACATGATAGGTAATATATTTAGGAGTTATGAGATATTTTTACGTTTTGTGTCATCATATAATTTTTTCGTAATATTATGGATTATACGCAAGCCGAGGTAGCGGGAGACACTGTGATTTGTATGAAATACACTTCTGTCACGCGGATTTACAACTCTGTAACGTACTTTTTACAATGAAATTATTCAATTCATATGTTATTTAATGGTGCACAGCCATTATGTGTATAGTACAGTGCATGTTGAAATACAATTAAGAAAAAATAATGATAATTTCCTTGTTTTCTTTTTCACTGACTGTTAGAGACACTTTTTTGTAGGTTAAAAAGAAGAACGACCCAATTATCAAATGTCGTTTAATTCAAAAATCACAAATAAAGAGCTGTGATGTCACCGAAATGCTTAGAACCAAAATAATGGCGACCAAAATCGGAATAGAATACTATAAGTGCTCGATTTACTTGTTACGCGTCCTCTCTTTATTTAGGTTCCAGATCATTTGAGATACACTGATTTTAGTATCTCTAATAATTTACTGGTGGCAGTTGGGTGATTGTTTGTGGCAAAAATATTAATTTATTTTTTCCTAACTACATTTAATGTTATTGACACCTTTTATATTTGCTGTAGCAAATTAAGTAAATGTAGAGTACAGTTCTGCAATTGGATTATAAACACGTTTCAGTTATTTTATACCACATCAGGTTCATTTTTTCTTATTTATACTATATTGTATTTTATTTTTAAAAGATAGCTATTGATGTCAGCTTTACAACGATGTATCACCTATTGGTAAATTAATAAAATTGGCTTTAAAATCAAGAAAATAATTTTTCACATGAGGGCAAATTTAAAAAACAGCATTAGAACTCTACAAATTTAATTACAAAAATTAAAAAAATTTCACACCACTGTCTGCATTATTATTTCAAGCAAGAATTCTACAATAAATCTATGAATAAAAAATCTAGTAGCCCATGACCACTACCAACCGTTGGAATATTAAACAAACAGATTACTTGTCAAAACGAGAAAAAATAATAGTTTTCATTATTACTAATAATAACATTTAAAAAAAAATGGCATCGAGTTTTTCTCACAAAGAAAAATTTAATATACTGGAATGTTATATTCGTTGCAACAGAAATGCAAATCTTGCATTAGAAAGATATTCTGAAGATTGCCCTGAAAGATAACAGCCAAGTAGAAAACTTTTTCCAAAAATTGTTATAAACCTCATAAACTATGGAAGTTTTGAACAACCACGGCCCAAGAAGTGAATTAGGAAAAAGATGTGATAAATATGTGAGGGAATATTCTAATGCCGCTCCGACATCTTCTACAAGAGCGGCGACAAGAAACTTACCAACCTGGAGAAGTACCATACAAAGAATCCTAAAAGAAAGTAAATATCGACCGTACAAGCCAACTATTGTTCAGAGGAAAAACAGATTATGCACGAAAAATCCAATTTTCAAACTAGTGTTTGAACCAATACGAACAAAATCCTGGTTTTAGTCATCTTGTAAGGACCGACGAAACACATTTTATAGACTGCAAGTTGTTTAAAAGTTATTGCTCTGGACGCTTGAATTTCGTTTCAGGGGAAATTTGCAGTAGGTATCTCCTCCAATACTCCCACCTCAAAAGATAGAAACTCTTGTCAGAGATATTCATTCAATTGCATCCGTAACTACCGTATAGGACACTGATAGACAACTATTGTTTTGGGATGGACTCAGTATAATTTGAAAGATTCGATAGGCGGTGTATTGTGTTAGTGTTATTAAAAATTTGTATTTTAAATATTGTAAAGATATTAAAAGCATGGGAAGAAGAAAGGATTCTTATGTTAAGAGAAAGAATTTTAAAACCACGGGCCTTAATTTAAATAGGACTAAAGTAAAAACTTTTGTTCGGTCTATTTTAGATGGTGTTTTAGGTAAGAAACTAAATTAGGGACACATAAAATATATTTCCGAAGTTCCTATTACTTTCGTATTAATGAGAATTGATTTTTAAAATATTTAAAAGACTAAATTTGAGTCCGAAATAATTATTTTCAATTCTTGAGTAATTTGGATCATTAATTTTTGGTAAATTACTAAGTGTTTCTTTTTCTTTTCTTTAAGATCGTGATGAATTTTCTACAACAACATCAAACATAATTTTGGAAAAGGTAAATAAAACATGTTACGTTGTATTTACATTATATAAATGATTAAATGAATTTATTTAATTATTTTTAGGAAAATATACAAAATTCTTCAAAAAAAGAGCAAGAAAATAATGTAAAGGACTTTTTTATGGTATGACATTTTTTTGTATACCTATTCTACACGTATTTATTTATATAATAATTAGAATATCTAATTTTAATTAAATTACTTTTTTAGATAATTAATGATGAAAATTATGAAGTTATAATATCTGAACAAATTACGAAGGTTTGAAACATAATTTTTTTACAAATATTTGGCACCGTTTTAACTTCAGAAAATGTCATTAATTTGTTTTTTGTTGAATTATAAATATATTTTATGTACCTATCTATTTTAGGAGAATTTGCAACATTTTTATCGACTGAGAATATCCATATTTAGGTTGGTAAATAATATTTAATATTTTTCTTATTTAAAAATATGCCGACTCTGGTACCGTTTATTTTATATTAAAAATAAAAAATATAAAATATTTGTATACACTAAAAACATTAAAAAAAAAAGATATGAAAAATTATTATTTTTTAGGTGCAACACCAGATGGAATCGTTGGTGATGATCTTGTGGTTGAGGTAAAATGTCCATAATGGAAGTGGACGACGCAATAGAAAAAAAGAAAATTCCGTTTTGGATTACTGATAAAAAACTGGGGAACATGTAGTAAATACAGAATACAAATGGTATTACCAAATACAAGGCCAGTTACATATTACTGGCCGGAAAGGATGTATCTTTGGTGTTTGGACAGACCATAAATATCCACTCAAAGTAGAATACATACTAAAGAGAAATGATTTCTGGCAAAACAAAATGGAACAAAAATTAAAAAGTTTTTTTATGAATTGTATATTACCAGAACTGGTAGATCCAAGACACGTAAGAAGGATGCCATTAAGGGAACCAGCTTATATTTTAGAAGCAATAGAAAACAAAAAACAAAACAAAAAGGATTCAAAAATAAAACAAAACTAGTTTGTTTTTAATTTATTAACGTCGGTTTAAAATGTGGTGTAACTCTTTTTCTTCCTTATATCATTTCCAAAAGTATTTTAAGTTTGGACAAGCCCTTGATAGATTTGTTATTTCTTATTAAAATTTGATAAAGATTTCTTCATTTTTTTTTAAATAAACATTCATGAATTACCCTTTAGCTTTTTATTAAAAACGTTTACATGATGGTTCCATCGTTTCAAAAAAAAAAGTTAATAAAATATATTTATTTTTGTGACTTCTAGAATTAAAAGAATTTGCTGGAAATTCACACATTTCGATTGTAATAGTAAACAGTGCAATAGCTCTTAACTAATTAACAATATTTCCTTTTAACAAACTGTGTAGGTATTTAGGAATGTACCTAATAATTATTATTTTTACTTGGACGAATGTAAAGAACCATTAATGGCATTGTTAATCATGGGTGAGTCCAGCACTGATAAAAATTGAAATACGCCAAACAAGCTTCGAGCAGTGCTTTGCAATCGTAGAGAGAAGGGAGTCAAAATATTTAGTTTTATAGGTATTTCTGGGAATAACAACTTTCCGTATTTATATGATTACATCTTTATTTCAAATCCAATTTTAATTATTATTTTTTTATTCTCTTGAGAAAAGATAAAACTACATTTACATCGTTGTATTTGAAAAACAATGTATTTTTAATATAATAATTTGTCTGGTAAAGTTAGGCTCTTTTTAACAATTTTATTGAACTTATAGATTTTTTTCTGGTTGAACCGTTTATATTTTAATCAAAAGCGTCTGTAGGATTATAGTACAAGCCTTTATCTTTTTTCAAAAACAAAAATTAATAAAACATATTCATTATTGTGCCGTCTAGAATAAAAACCAAATACTCGAAATTCACACATTTTGATTGCATTTGTGAGCAGTGCAATAGCTCTGCGACACAACTATCATTTTTGGCCTACAGAAAATCCTTACCAATTGAATGCAAACCCGATTTGGCTTTAATGTTTGGTATGGCATACGTAAGTAATTAAGTAATTTCATCTTACTTTTTAGATAACCGACTTATCGGACCATTCTTTTATAATTACATGTTGAATGGCACATTTTTGCGAAATCTGAGTTTGGTACGGGAATTTGTTCTTTATAAGTAGGTGCATAAGGCTAAACATAATTTAAGTCCAAATTCCTCCTTCAACCGTTAATAAAATAAGGGAGTAACTACGCTTACAACTGCAAAATCCACCTTGTCCAAAGACATTTAGTTGCAAACGCCAAGACCAATTGTGAAACGTTTGGACGGTAGCGTGTTTTGTTTTCAGTTTTGTTTGGAAGTTATTAGAAGTAAGATGAGAAAATAGAAAATTAATTTTGTATAGTTGTGATGGACAACGATAATATTGGTATCCCTATAAAAAAGACAACTCCAGAATGTAGTCGAAAAAGAATCCTGCAGCATAATAAACACAAAAGAGTAGTCGCTGCAAAAAAGAGGTAAGTATAGAAGCAAAATAAAGTTTCAATGCATCGAACTAATAGTGTTATGTTTTTAGATATTGGGCTACAGCTTTGCCTGAAAAACCAAGATGTATTCATAAAACTCCATTACTAAAATGCACCTCCTTAACAATAAAGGAACTGCAATTTGTTCATGTAAGATTTTATGAAATTCCATCGAAACTTAACCAAGATGCTTTCATTTTAAAATGTTGCCACACTAAGCTACCGAAAAAAATAAGAAGGCGAGTACAGAGAGAAGAGGGCAGCACAGTTTCTCAAAAACAGGTATCAATAGATTATGGAACGCCAAAAAAGGCGGCGAATGGATTAGAATTTGTAGAAGCACATTTATGAAAATGTTGAACTTGAAGGATAGAATTCAAGGTGTGGTAAAGCGATTTTTCTTTGAGAGAAAAACTCCATCAGAAAATAGAGGGGCGACCGCGTTCTAGAAAAGAATGATCAAAAGAAGTTAGCTATGAGTAATTTTATTGAGAGTTTTAAATGCGTGGAATCTCACTAATGTAGGAGTCAAGTAAAGAAAAGAACCTATCTACCATGTGACCTTACTATAAGAAATCTTTTTAAACTTTACATCGAATCAGTGGAACCTTCCCTTGCTGTTAAGGGACCTTATTTTCGTTTGTATTTTACAAGGCCGTATAATATCGGTTTTGGAACTCCTATCACAGACGCATGCTCTGTTTGTTAGATATAAGGAAACGATAAGAATGGAAAAAGATGAGGACAAAAAAAAGAACTAAATGTTTTGTAGGAATTGCATAAACTAAAATCCAAATCATTTTACAAAATTCATTAAAGTAACAGCAACGAGTGGAAGTTTTTTCTGTGGATTGTCAGAAGAACTTAGCTCTTCCGAAATTACCTGATCACAAAGCTTATTTCTCTTCCCAATATAATTTTTACAACTTTTCGATTTTACAACTTTTGGATTTTACAACTTTTCGATTTTACAACTTTTCGATTTTACAACTTTTCGATTGTAAATGGTACCTCAAATGCGAAACTAAACTCTGGCACAGTGATAGCGTATGTATGGACCGATGTGGAATTGCCAAAAAACTCAAGTGCTATTGCTTCAGCGTTATTCCATAAATTATCGAGACAGATTCTCCAAAGACATTAAAGAAAATTTTTATCTTTGCAGATGGCTGCCCAGGCCAAAATAAGAATATTACTATGATAGGCATGCTTGCAAGTTTTCTCCATAGAAAGGCATCTGATAATATTCAGCATATTGAACTAATATTTCCGATTGTAGGACACAGTTTTATGCCGCCATATCGTGCTTTTGGTATTTTCGAAAGGAAAATTAGAAAAACAGAAATTATAACAAGACCAGAGCATTATATACGAATAATAGAAGAAAACGCAACAGTTTTTAAATTGACTGAAGATTGGGACGTGCAGTATCGCAAGTTTTGAAGCCACCAGGAGCTTGCCATTTTCAGTTTCAACAGTGCAAACGTTTTATGATTTTGAAGCGAAATGGAACAATTGAAGTTCAAGGTGAAGCTAACTACAATAGTGCTACTGGTGTTTCAAGAGGCATCGGTAAAAAAGGAAAAAACATATGATTAACCCTGACCAAATTGAACCTGGCAGAATAAGTGATAAAAAGAAGGCCCACGGTGTTTCCAAATTGTTAGAGACGCACTATGGAATTGACTGGAAAGAAAATCCTGACCTGAAATTTTATGAGGATGCTATACATTTCTCGCTGAATACTGATGAGAGTGATCCACAACTACTGACAAATGAGTTATATGCAGAATTTCCTCCAAAAGAAGCAACTGGAATGTGAAGTGTGAAGTGAAGTTTTTGTCAAAAAAGTTGTTTGTTTAGTTAGCTTTATTCTCAAAAAAATTTAGATAATGTTCACTTTTTCTTACTAATAATATGTTATTTTCTATAACATAAACAAATAAAATATTTTTTATGTAATACTGGTCTGGTGTTATTATACTCTATTAAGTAAAACATAAAAAACTAGGTTGTTTTGAAATCTGGAGTTAAATTAACTTTGAATTTAGCTACAAATCCCACCATGTCCATAAATAAAAACTATTTTATGTGAAAACTGCAGCTAAAAATGTTTCTAAATTGTAATCTTCTAATAAAAGATAGTATTAAATTATAACTAAATTAAACAAATATGTAAAAATACGGCAGCAGTCGTCTGTAACAGTTTTTGACGTCTCCTGTAAATTGTTATAAATGTAACTTGGCGGCTTTTGCATCTATACCCCTCAGAAAGTAAAATTTTACCGGCAATATTTGGTTTCAACGCACATAATATTCAAGCAGTTTAAATTCTCTTAAGACAGACATTTGATAATAAAATAATTTCAAATGGCGAACCAGTTAACTGACCTGCCAGATCATCCGATATAATCCCCTAGATTTTTATTAATGGGGTATGCAAAAAGTGAAGTCTATTAGTTTGAACCTCCTGAAACCGTACAAAAATTAAAAGAGAAAGTGAGGTATGTGTTTGCAAGCATAAATGGCAACATTCTTTGCAGGGTCACTAATACTGTGTTGAAACAGTGTCAATAATATATTAATGAAAACGGCAAACATGTGATATAAGTATTAGTAAGTATTGTTTTTAAGTCAATTTCTTTTATTTACTCATAAGTGATATACGAGTAGCTTTGTAAAGCTGACATCAATAGCTACCTTTTAAGTATAAAATACAATATAACGTCAATAGTAAAAAAAATAAACTGATGATGGTATAAAATAACTTAAACGTCGTGTTTAAAATTTTATTGCAGAACTAAAATCTACGTAAAAAGTTACTTTAAAAAATGTTTTTCAGATTGCCAAAATAGTGAACAATGTAAAAGATACAGCATAATTTCAAAAATGCAACTGTTTGATTTTTTTTAAATATCTCAAAAACACGTTTCTAAGTTGAAAATATATTCTTATAAGATTATTCTCATTTAAGCGTTTCTCTATATCCTATAGTTTTAAAAATTCTCATACCTATAGACCCAATTAGGGCTTAAATTGTATTTTAGTTGTCCATGTAATTCTTTATAATACACGTAATTCACATTGGATTTGCAGTTCCCTAGTCCTGTGTTTTGAGTAGTAAATAACTAATCAACTGACCAAACTGACTGATCGAATTCAGTCTGTACAGTTCGAAAAAATACTCTCAAATACTATCGATTGTTTTTTAAAATGTATAGATAGTGTTCGATAGTAAAAACTAGCTAAAAACACATGGCCAATTAAATAAAAGGTGCATTTATCAATAAAGCATATATTTTTTACCAACTAGAGCTGAACAATAATCTTTTTGATCATGAATTCGGAAAACTCTACGTCTGGCTTGGTCATCACCTCCTGATTCTTAAATAATTTGTAAATTGTAGGGGTGATATTTGTGAAGCTTCAAAACTTTTCTGAATGATTCACGCGACAGTCCAGTTTATTCTGCAGCTTGACGAACCGACATTGTGGGAGCAATAGCAATTTGACCAAGAACTTTAAACTCAGTGGCTTCATTGAGGTCTAAAATAACGATCAAATTCTGTTTGCTATCTGCCACGCTATGTCATGTGCAAAAAGTGCGAAATTTAGTCGAGTTAGTAGCATACCGGTGTAAGTGTATCGTGAATCTGACGCATAACCTCGATCATAATTTGTAGACGACTTAGTGCTAAAAATTAACTTTGGTTATTTTCCTGAGATACCTCGTACACCGTACGAAATACTTGAAAACATTAAACCGCGAACAGTGCTCCGAATAATTTCAATATGTTCCAGGAACACGAAGTTATCATTTTGAATAATACCTCTCTAATCCATCTTAGCGAACTTCCCATATTTTCTTAGAACTTCGAATTGTACTCTCTTTAGGTTTCCCGACTCCCACACCGTTTCACCTTTTACAAGCAGGTCGACGCCGTATCTTGTTTAGTAAATTTAGAGAGAAAATTGTTGGCCTACACACTGAGCCGAAACGATCCAGCCCACAGGGGACATTCTGACATTGTTCCGTTTATCAAAGAAGTCGTCGGCTCCCTTTTTTGGTATGATTCGGTTTGGTTTTCCGTGATGATTCTGCAAGTTCAAAATTGTTCTCGAGCCTTCTTTATTATCGAATCATTTGGCACGGTCATTCGCAACTAGTGTTCCATAACAGTGAAAATAAAAAAAAATAAGTAAAATAGACATTTTAAAAAGTCGAATTTTTGTGAATTTTATTGTACTGACACTTAGTCTTAATCATATTTATTCAGTTAAGAAACAAAACTCATCTCGAGTACATTTTTTTTTGTAAATTATATTTTTTAAATGAACTCAAGTCAATGTTGGCGTCCCACAGGGAAGTGTTTTTGGGCCAGAAATATATTTATTATGACATTCCAGAGATGGAAAATATAAAATTAGCCACATTAGCTGATGATACAGCTGTCTTAACCGTAGGATCAAGTATAAAAGAAACAACAGCTAATCTTCAAATCGGAATCAATAGCATATAAATCTGGTCTAAACAGTGGCGCACAAAAATTAACGAGGAAAAATCCGCTTATCTTAACTTTACCAATAGAAAAATAGAATATATACCAATAAACCTAAATAACAATATTACACCAAATAAGAAAACAGCAAAATATCTAGGTCTAAATCTGAATGCTAAATTAAAATGGAAGGAGCATCTAAATTAGAAAACTAAACAGCTAAAGATCAAATAAAGAAATATGTATTGGTTGATAGGAAAGAACTCTTCACTCTCCACTCAAAATAAAATCCTGATTTACAAACAAGTTCTAAAATCAGTATAGACATACGGCCTATAATTATGGGGTGTACCAGTAAAAGCAATTACAATTACCTAGAAATGGTCTAAAACCAAATTCTTAGGTACGTAGTTAATGCGCCTTGGTATGTTCGCAATAAAGACATGCGCCGAGAACTCCAAGTTAAGTCAATTCCAGAAGAAATTAAGAATATTGCCAAGAGACATGAGGAGAGGTTTCACAAACACATTAACATTGAAGTTCTCTAACTTTTAGAGAATCAAAACCTAGTGCGCATACTTAAAAGAGTCAAATCTTTCGAGCTTGTGTAAGTGAAGTGATGGTGATTTATATATATATATATATATATATATATATATATATATATATATATATATATAGGCCGGTTTGATGGAAGAGTGACTTTTCAGAGGTTGGCAACACTTTCGCTACGGTGATTGTATTGGTAGTTTCCGCCATGTTTCTGATGTCATCTGTAAAAATTTTACAAAAATCTGACAGATAGATTAATTTTAATACTCATATAAAGAAAACTGTTTTCGATGTTGGGTA